CTTCCAGGCCTTAGTGGCCAGCGCGCAGTATCTGATCCCAGGCAGGGCCGGGCCCCTGGGAAACACACAGGCTTGGCCTGCCCTATACGACCGCCTGCAGCGAGTGAGTGGCCATCCATCATCCAGGCAATGCAATCTCCATGGGCGGCCGGGCGGGCTGTGCGGAACGGCAGAGGTGGAGGGGACAGGCGAGGGAGGGGGCTGGCCAGAGGGACCCAGCTGACCTGGCTCACCTGGGTGCAGGTGGGTACTGATGATGACTAACTAGTAAGTTCTGGGAGCAGCAACAGAGATGGGGACCAGGGCCCGGCCCTGGCAGGAGCTCTCCTGAGAAACCTGGGTCATCTCTTCCTGTGACCTGAAAGTTACCTTGACGTATTGGGGAAAACCTCTAATGAATTGTTGAGCCTGGCCTACTGGTTTGGGGATGACAGCAGGTGACAGGCACAGCCCTCACATTGAGCAACATGGTGTTTACGGCCTTAAGGTTTCCTGCCAAGAGGTCCAGTGTCGGGCTAATGTCCCAGCCCTCTTCCCTACTTAAGTCTCCCAGCCCATGATCCCTAGTCAAGATTTCTTTCTCTCCCCTCCCACACCGCCAGGCTCTTCTGCCCTGTGTCTATACACTTCTCCTTTCTTTACCCAAGTCATGCTCTGAGCCCCCAACATTGTTATGGGAGGGCATTCTGGTTACTTTGATGGTGAGCAAACACAGTCTGGAAGAGAAGAAAGGGCCGATGCTATAGAAATTCAACCTACCCAGACCCAAGGGGCTGTGGAGGAAGAAGGTGTTTGTTTAGAATGTGTTTGAGGCCCCGGGGAAGAGAGGAGGAAGGCATCCAAAGACATTTTTCTATCATGAAATGTTTCAGGCCAACGGAAACATGCAGAGAACATTGTTTTTAAAACATGTAGCCACCATTCATCTTGGTCAAATCTTAATTTTCGTCATCTCTCCTGCTGTTCCTAAGAAATGGACCACAACAGACATGTGAAGCCTCCAGTGTACCTCTCTCCAATGTTACCCCTCTCCTTCCAAGTGTACTTACCCTATGTTTGGCTGTGTTTACATTTTTGCCTCATTTGTATACACCCCTAAACAACAGAGAGTACAGTTTTGTGCAGGTTTTAAAACTTTATATAAACTGTATTGTTCTATATACATATCCTTCTGATCTTTTTTGGTCAATGTTGGTTTTTGAGATTTATTGACTTTATACATGTAGCTTTCTTTACTTGACTCACTTTTAACTGCAATGCACTATTCCATCGTACAAATACACTCAACATGGTTATCCATCCCCCGTTGATAGACATTTAGAGTATTTCCAATTTTTCATGCATCATTGCTGCAAAGGACATTCTTGTATAGGTTTATTTATGACCAATATATTTAGATTCTTTCTTTTTTTTTTTTAATTTAAGTATAGTTGGTTTAAAATGTTGTGTTTGGATTTATTGCTACCATTGCATTTTGTGCTTTGTATTTACTGCTTTTTTTCTATACTCCTTTCTCTCTTCCTCACCTGGATTTAATAGACTTTATTCCATTTCCAGCAGCTGCTCTCCTGATTTGAAAGTTATATGCTCTATTTCTATTTGTTATCTCTATTATTCTAGACTTAAAATCTAGACTTAAAGACTGCTATTTGTTCCCCACGTTCTGTTCTCCACTGCTCTTTCATACGAACTCTGACTTTTAACAGAGCATATCATTATCCAGAATAAAGACGACACTTTCCAATCTTTCCGGCAGCCTGGTATAACCACATGAATAAGTGGCCAATGGGATGTGAGTAGAAGGAATGAAGGCAACCTTTGGCCCGTGCTATCAAAGGGAAGGAGTTGGAATGTGGACATGTGGGTGAACCACCTTCAAACATGTAGCAGACCTCCCCCCAGAGCTAGATTGCTTATGTCTGGAATGTTACATGAAAAGGAATGGATTTTTTAAACATATATACTGCTTGGTCTTATCCTGCTTCCTGAATCTGAGGCTTTAAGTCTTTCACCAAGTTTGGAAACTTTAAAGTCATTATCTCTTTGAATCATGCCTCTCTTTCACTTTCTTCTCCACTTCTGGAATCTCCATAAGGATCCTGTCATTCTGGCAACCACATCTCAGCCTGTGTCTTCATCTCTCTATGCTGCCCTCAGGTCTGTCTTTCTGTTCGTGAAGTCTGTCTCACGTGGTGCCTAATCTGACATTAATCTATCCACTGAACATTTAATTTCATTGCAAACATTTTTCATTTCTGGCAGTTCTGTTTGGTTCTTTTTCTCATCTTTTTGGATGGTGTCTTGTTCTTGTCTTATATTTTCAATTACTTTATTATGTCTTCAATAGTTTTTTTTGGTGGGGTGGGGCATACCATGCAGCTTGCAGGATCTTAGTTCCCCGACAGGGATTGAACCCAGGCCCTTGGCAGTGAAAGCACAGAGTCCTAACCGCTGGATCACCAGGGAATTCCTTTCAATAGTTCTGAACGCATTGATTTAGTGTGTTGCCAACGGTTCTATTATTAGAAATTCTTGTGGTGATCGAGTCCAGTTGTTTGTTGCATACGTGGACTCTCACTCACTGTGGGTTATTCTCCCAAGTATTTAGTCATCGTGGATCATATATTCATCTTCACTAAGGACTTTAAGGATTCCTGTGGGGATCTTGTGTAATCAGGGCTGAGGTCTTGTTCCTCCAGAAGAGGTTCTGTGTCTGCTTCTACAAGGTCTCTGGGGTTATCACTGGCCCAGAACTTCAGGTTCCTAATCCACACAGATAGTATAAATTCTCATGTTAAACCACTAACGTCATCAGGCTCTCGGGGAACAATTTTCATTTTCTTTATTTTTCTTTTTGCTGCCCAGAGCCTTGGCTAAGTATGAGAAGCTGTTCTGTCGTCTCCCTGTGCTGGTGGGTGATTTTCTTCTCCTTGTGCACCTTTTTATTTCGTGTAAACTCCTTTGATAGTCCTGACTTTACCTGGAAGTTTCAGTTTCAGCTCCAGCCTCCAACTGGCCAGACCTCATCTCTGTTTCCAGAGATGTTAAAACTCAACCTTGATGGTTGGGTTACTAAAGGGAGGTCACACTCACCCGTCCCAACTCAGCTGCCAGTGTTGAGCTCCACGCTGGTTTTTCCTCTTCATTGTGCCCCCTGAGGATTCCTCTCATTGTTTTAGTACACAGCTCTGCACTTAGAAGGATATTTTAAATATTTAATCTAGTATGAGTAGGTGTCTCATGGTGGTCATGTTTAGGTTATTACTAGAAACAGAAGTCTCCTGGCTCTGAGATGTGCTTTAGACCAGCTGTCTGAATCAATCCCTTCTTATCCCTTCCTTCCCTTGCACACCTCCAATTCCATACACAAGACAAAGTTCTCAAATTTGATAGTGTACAAGACCAACTTCTGGGCGCTTCTGAAACATACAGATAACTAGCAGCACGAGACTTGCATCAGGAGGACTGGGGTGGGGCCCAGGAACATACATGGTTAACCAGCACTCTAGCTTTCTGGCACAGGGGGACCCAGCACCACACCAATGCCTAAGGTTTATTTCCCTTTCCCCGAGGTGGCTGAATTCTACTAGCAGTACCTGAACCACACCCAAAGGAACCCTGCCGGTCTCCAGTCTGCAAAGCCTGAACTAGGAGACAGCAATGCCAGCACACCCAAGGTTCATGAATTCTAGTCCAAGCTAGTCTAGGGCCACTCCCCTCAGCAGTGGAAGGGCAGAGGTGATGTCAATGACTGGTCTTCTTGGACTCCGGGTTGTGGGGTTGTCAAGAAAACAGGTCATTTATGCAGGCTTTATTCATCAAGACTTTGGCATTACTTAGAGGTGGACTGAATTTTACTTTTGTACTAGGAAAGAAGGGTTTACTAGCAGATGGCTACTGTAGACAAAACGATAGACAGAATGGTTGATTCAATTAAGATATATATATTTTAGTGTAGGTTGCCACTTTCTAGATGGGTTATGCTCCAAAATGCCTCTGAAAACAGCCGTTTAGAATATATCTTCCCATGGAAACATGAATAATGGTCAGTTTCCCAGGCCAGCCCACCCAAACCTGTAAAGATAATAACTGTTCCCATTTAAAACCGATTCTATGCCAGAACGTTTACATATGTCATCCGATACAATTCTCAAAATAATTCCGAAAAGTAGACATGTGTGTCCCTGTCTGAGAAGTGAAGGGACTTGCCCACTGTCATGTAGCTAGGAAGTGGCAGAGCCAGACACGTCTGGCTCCAAAGTCTGTATCATTGTCACCAGAAACCAGCCTGCCTTCCACAGCTCATAATCTTAATAGAGGGTGAGCAGCAGGGTGGGGATATCCATTCTTCTCTCCTAAAATATCGTCCTTCCCCACATTGAGGAAGAAATGTTAGGGGAATAATAGAACCTCCACTGTAGATACACGTGACTCAAGAGATGATGCACGACCGTGAAGATCTGTACCATTTCTTTGGTGTGTCATATAAAGAAGCAGAGCAGGAAAGGATGCAAGATGACAGATTAGTCAACTGCTTAGAATTTGGTCTTTGAAAAAACAAACTACCTTGGGTTTCATTTTACAAGAATGGAAAGCACCTTATCAAAAGTTCACCATCCTGCAACAGAGAATAAATAAGCCCTGGAGATCTAATGCACAGTACAGTGAATACAGACAACAATATTGTACTATAATCATCAAACTTGCTAAGAGACTGGAACTTAATTATTCCAACCACTAAAAAGAAATGATAATTACGGAATATGATAGACGTTCTAATTACTGCTACAATGGCAATCATATTAAATATATAAATGGGTCGAATTAACATGTACGCCTTGAATTACACAATGTTATATGTCAAATATATTTCAATCTATCAACCAATCAATCAAACCGCTCAGAAAAAAAAGAAAAAGAAAGCTGGCTTTCCCCAACTCTCCCTCTCTGACAGTGACCTCTGCAGAGACATTAGAGGCTGCCTGCTCTCCAGGACTCACCTTGTCGGCCAACAGCTCCCTTATCTTGCTGGCCTGCAGGCGGAACCGGAATAGCTGGCTTTCCAGGGCCAGGCAGCGCTTCTGCCAGTCCACACTGGTCCGGGTCTCCACCTTGAGTTCTGCCATGATGGAAGCAACTTCTGGAGATTCCAGGGAGCCCTGAGGGCCAGCACACAGAGAGGGGAAAAGATAAGTAAGTGTGTGAGGAAGAGTTCTCTGCGGAAAGGAGGAGGAGACCAAAGGACAGAGGAAACAGGGCGGGGGAAGGTAAGTGAGCCTGGCTCTCCCTCTGTCCCATGGCCAGCTCTCTGAGCTCAGCATGTCCCATTCCATCAGAAGGTAGCTGCGCAACCTCAGGAAATCACAAAACCCAAGAAACCGCAAGGAGAACCTAGTCTCATTGTTACAGAAGTGAAAAGTAGGGCTCATTTGTTTTTCATTCAACTATCCATTTAACAAAAATTTATTCATTCTGGGCTTCCCTGGTGGCGCAGTGGTTGAGCGTCCGCCTGCCGATGCAGGGGACGCGGGTTCGTGCCCCGGTCTGGGAAGACCCCACATGCCGCGGAGCGGCTGGGCCCGTGAGCCACGGCCGCTGAGCCTGCGCGTCCGGAGCCTGTGCTCCGCAACGGGAGAGGCCACAACAGTGAGAGGCCCGAGGACCGCAAAAAAAAAAAAAAAAATTTATTCATTCAACAAACATCTATGTGCCAGACACTGTTCTAGGCACTGGAGATGGAAAGGGAAATGAGAGAGGTCCCCTTGTCTTTTGGAAGAACTCTTAGTAAAGTCTAATTGCAAAATTACAATGTAGTCGCAATTGCTAATCAATATGAAGATAAATGGAAGCAGAGAAATGGAGTGGACTATGCTGGGGGGAGGGTGTTTAGGGAAGGCTTAAAGTGGGTAACAGATTCATCCATGATCACGTGGCTAACTGGAGGCGGAGCCCTGGTTCCCAGGTGAGTACTGATTCTTTACAACTACACAGATTTCAGATAGGAAAAAATGGAACAAAAATGTAATGCTTCAAATTTCCTTGACAACTTTCTATTTAGCTGGGATTTCATATATTGTCATCAAATCATCCTGTTTTGGAACAGATTCTCACTCTTTCCTTTAAGTTATAAAATGCAAATCAGAAAATTGGTAGATATTTTGCTGTAGCCTCTGGAGAAAACCACAAGTCTTTAGAAAACACTTTAGACAAATTCAGAACAAGCCAAGGAGACACCTATAATACTTCCAGGCAGGGGAATTTACCCAGATGTGTCTCCTGAAAATATTTTAGAGAAAAAAAACCTGGGTCGGGGATGAGAAAATGAAGGATGTGAGTGTGTATGAGAAGGGGAGGCACAGGCGCAGAGGGGGCACAAAGCAGAGAAGGGCCAGAAGACACATCCACCACCAGGACTTTTTAAATCCCCCTTCCAGGGTGCTATTAATAATTATGTTTGGCAACAAGCGTAAATTTGGTCTGTCTCAAACCATGACATACGGTCTCCCTACTATCAGGTGATTTTAAAGAATAATTGTTAGTTTTCTAGATTGATAATATATTTTTTATTTTTATTTATTTATAATTTTAAAAAAATTTATTTATTAAAAACATTTTTTTTGGCCACACCATGGGGCATACAGAATCTTAGTTCCCTGACCAGGGATCGAACCCATGCCCCCTGCATTGGGAGCATGGAGTCTTAACCACTGGACCGCCAGGGAAGTCCCTATTGTTTATTTATGTATTTATTTTTTAAATTAATTTATGTATTTATTTTTGGCTGTGCTGGGTCTTCGTTTCTGTGCGAGGGCTTTCTCTAGTTGCGGCGAGCGGGGGCCACTCTTCATCGCGGTGCGCGGGCCTCTCACTGTCGCGGCCTCTCGTTGCGGAGCACAGGCTTCAGAAGCGCAGGCTCTGTAGTTGTGACGCACGGGCCTAGTTGCTCCGCAGCATGTGGGATCTTCCCGGACCGGGGCTCGAACCCGTGTCCCTGGCATTGGCAGGCAGATTCTCAACCACTGTGCCACCAGGGAAGTCCTATTATTTCTAATTTTTTTAATTTTTATTTTTTTGGCTGCTCCGTGCAGCATGTGGGATCTTAGTTTCCCGACCAGGGATCAAACCCGTGCCCCCTGCAGCAGAAGCAGAGAGTCTTGATAGTATTTTTTAATGTCATCTGTTAAAGATACATATGGCTTACAGGTGAAATGATGTAATGCCTCCGGTTTGCTTTAAAACACTTCACCACAGGAGGCGAGGAGCTGGAGTGGAGGGAGACACATGCAGGAAGATTTGTGAAGATGTTGATAAGTTTTGAAGCTGGGTGATGTGTGTACTGGTCTCTCTACTTGAGTATATGGCTAGAATTTCCCATAATAAAAATTTGTCATTAGAGAACAGACTTGTGGTTGCCAGGGGGGAGGGAGGGAGGGAGGGATGGACTGGGAGTTTGGAGTTAGTAGATGCAAACTATTACATTTAGAATGGATAAACAACAAGGTCCTCCTGTATAGCACAGGGAACTGTATCCAATATCCTGGGATAAGCCATAATGGAAAAGAATGTAAAAAAAAAGAATGTATATGTACGTATACTTTGCTGTACAGAAGAAATCAGCACAACACTGTAAATCAACTATACTTAAATAAAGAAAAAGAAAGGTTAAAAAAATTGTCATTTTAAAAAAAACACCTTTCCCTTCTTCAGGAGCCACATGGCTTCAGAAAACCCAGCCACCTCCTGTATGTCACTGAAATTACCCTGGAGCATCAGTGAGCCTGTCCTTGACAGGTTAACCACCAATATTGCTTCTCACCCCACATCTGACTTTTACAATATCATTCTCCCATTATACGCAACAAACAGCTATTATTTATTGAGTCCTTACTATATGCCAGGCACGTGTGGCCTCTTTAATTTTCAGGAGAACCCACGAGACAAGGAGTGGGCACTAGTCCATACTCTCAGGTGAGGACACAGAGGAACAGAGAGTTCTGTAACTGGTAAGTAGTAGGGCTGGGATTCTCATTCCAAAAATGCCTGTTTTTAGCTACTGTGCTCCTTACCCATCCAAAAACTGCAGACAATGTTGATTTCACAATGAGTTGGGTGGACTGTTAAGAATGAAATATTTTATAGGGTCTCTCAGGATCCTTGGCACTAAGGCGAACCTATACCCCAGATTTCCCAGGGTACCCTGGTCTCAAAGATTCTGACACTTTAACCTCCATAAGCACAGACATTTATCATGTGTCCTTTTTGTTTAAAAAACAGGGTCAGTAGACCCGTAGAGAAAGGCCCAACAATTAAACAACTGACGGGTCAGGTGATGGAGTCTTTCGGTTCTGGGCTGCTCAGAACACTGGACACATGACCTCAGTCAGCCCTGCTGTCCCGGAACTGTCATCCCAAACAATCCGACATTGTGACCTCCCAGCAATCCCCACCTCAAAAGACTGGGACCAACTGGAACGGGCAGGAAGACAAAAGATGAAAACAAAACATGACCTTCTCTGAGCTAAGATCACAGCTGAAAAGACACAACAGAACCTTGTGGGGCCTCCACAGAAGGCCCGGAGGCTTCAAGTTTGGTTTTTTTGTCCTTTAAGGGGATTTTACTTTCCCTGCATAATTAAAAAAAAAAAAAAAGTGGCAGATCCGAAGGTAGGACCTTGGAGTCTTGCAACCTAGCCCTGGGCTAAGAATTAGCAGTAAAAGCACCCAATAAAACCAAAGGGCAGGGGAAACTCAATCCTTTTGTGTTGTTAAAAAAAAGTTTGGTGAATGTTAATTCCCTCTTATTGATTGTCAAAACTGCAGCTCAGATTCCACTGGGAGAGCGGAAACCCAAATTATCAAAATCCCCAGGGACTTTGGAAATAAGATATGTCATTGGTCTCTGCCTCTCTGTGACACCTGAGATTATACCTAGTCTGTAGGGAGCACATTCCCCAATCCAGCATCCTCAAGACATCAAGGTTTTGAACCCATCAAGTGCTCTGCTTAATCCTCTCCCTGACTTGGGGATGCTGGCAAGGGAGATGGCACTCTTGTTAGGCTTGTCTTGGCATGTGAAGAGAGCTAAAAGGTTTCTGAATGGATCTGGAGCAAGGTGCCTGCTGCCAAGCCAAGGCCCAGAAGCTCTTCCG